CAGGTACAGGAATTTGGACTGATGTTATTGTTTATGCAACAATGTTACATCAGCGGTATGACGCCGACTAACATTTCCAGACACGAATTAATGTTATGTATGTTATGTGAGTCTCGCTGCCTATGTAGGTATGTATTCATAATTCTATGCATCTTTATTAACTACATGGCTACCCATGAATATCTTTAACTATTTGATGTCTCTAGATAATTGTTTGCAATGTAATACATCTAAATGCATATACATGCATGCATACATACATACACACACATACATACATACATACATACATACATACATACATACATACATACATACATTCATACATACATACATACATACATACATACATACATACATACACACATACACACACACACATACACACACATACATACATACTCATCACTGATTTGGTTTTAACATGCATAAAAACAAAATAAAAAATAAAAAAAACATACATTCATACAGGTATCTATATTCAGTTTGGTCATGATGTTATGGGTGTAATCAACCAACCTGTCGTGTTTCATCATATTAATATCCTGTATGAGTTTTGAACATTTATTGAATGGTATTTAAAATATTAACAATCGTTTAAAAACATACATGCGCATGCTTAAACATATACACAAACAAACACACACACACAAATATATATATATATATATATATATATATATATATATATATTGGTTAAATAAAAATAATTTATTTGATTTGATATATATATATATATATATATATATATATATATATTTTCAAAAATTTCATTGACATCAAAGGCAATCAAGAAGTTATAATGGAAACTTGTGCTGATTACCTTAACTGGGGTGCAAGCTGTTCAATATTAGCCAATTTAAGCAATAAAGCAAAATGTTATATTTAACAGAAATAAAATATAATAATCAATAGAAACAAAAATTTATATATATGTATATATATTTAATTATTTAATTAATTTAATATAATCTTAAAATATTTTATATATATATAAATTGTCAGAAATGCAATTATTGATGAAAGTCACCGCATGTTCCGCGTTTGTTAGCCTCCTGTTTAATTTTTCGATTTTACTTACGGTAGATCGTAAATCATTCTCAAGTTTCTTGAGCTCAAAATCAAAATTTTTATTTAGATAGAACATGATAGAACAAAAAAGCTTTTTTCGGTATTCCTATACCATTTTCGGTGTTCGAATTGATACGTTGTGTGTGTGGCCAAATGCTCATGTATTGTATGTATATTGGTAAGAGGGGGGCCAAGCTATCAAGAAGACTCACGATGCACGCACAAACTGGCGCTATAAAAAATCACATGAAAGAGAAACACAAAACTAAAATTACTAGACAAATATTGGACCACAATGTCGAAACCTTACATTACAATAACAACCATTATAATTTACGACTAGCCGAATCAATACTCATAGAACAAAGACATCCGATAATAAATATTCAACAAAGGGCAATTGGAGTTCTTCTTATCAATAAATTTAGAAACAGAGGAATCATCGATAATGAAAACACGTAAAAGTGTTACATTCAACAATGTTGAAAATTGTAAAAATAATTAAATGAGCGATGAGCGAAAAATCTAAAAGTTAAACAGAAAGTTAACTAACGCTGAACATGCTGTGATTTTCATCAATAATTGCATTTATAACAGTCTTAATCTAATATATACAACATGTGTGTTACGAAAGTTACTAACCACGTGAGTATTATTTGAAATTGTAGGGGCAAAAGTGCTGAGCAGGTGACATGATATGGAGTGGAGACCATGTTCAATAATAATAGTTATTAATTCACTCACTCAATCATTCACTCACTCACTCACTCACTCACTCACTCACTCATTCATTCATTCATTTATTCATTCATTTATTCATTCATTCATTCATTCACTCACTCACTCATTCACTCATGTACGCAGGATGTGTTGATGACTTCATAATCTATTCACTCATTCATTTATTCACTTTAATCATTCGCTTTATCATCACCAAATGTATAATCGTGAAATGAGTTTAAAATATCTTCATCATGACAGGCTGGCTGGGTTTGAAGATGTTGTAAACATCGAGCACAAAACAATATTGAAAGTTGATGAAATGAAGGATCAGTCAGTCAGCTAGTTGTATGCTTGCTTGCACTGTACCAATCAACTAACCAGTCAACCTATCAATCAACCAACCAACCAACAAAGTAACCAACCAATAAACCAACCGATCAATCAACATCACCACTCAACACTCCTCAACTCACTCATCTTAATCTAATTTCAATTTAATTTCTGGTTAGTCTGATAAATAGAGTTCGTACGTGTGCGTTCAAAATATGAATAATATTTGCTTGGTGCAATACCGCTAGATAATCTATTTTCTTAAAAAGTTAAATCTTCAATTAGTCTAAAATTTAAATTAATTCATTCGAACATTTAGTGAAATTGTGGCAAATATTGATAATAATGAATATTTTGGCATAATGAAGCCTTCTAATTCCTGAAAATTGAAAGATGAGGAGGAGCGAGAAACATCCCCTCCCGGCCGATGCATTCTTATTGATATCATTGCACCAGGCTGACAAATGTTTACACTGAAGAACAACGTTGAAACATTTCTTGAGAAATATTTCACGGAACCGGCCGGGAGAAAAAGATAAATCATTATTATTATCATCATCGTCATTATCATCATTATCATTGTCATTATCATTATCATGACGATCATTATTATTGTTGTTGTTATTATTATTATTATTATTATTATTATTATCATTATTATTATTATTATTATTATTATTATTATTATTATTATTATTGTTATTACTATTACATTGTATGTTTAGTATTGCTGAGAGATATGTAAAGAATATAATGCTATGAAATTTTTTTTTACTTAAATTGAATGTGGAAATATTATAAAATATAAATAATTGAGATTATTTTAAGAAATTTTCTTCTCGCTTTGCTGTGAAGGTGTTGATAAACTTTTAGTATAATAAATTGAAATGATTGTGTATTTGAATGCGTGGCATGTAATTCATAAATATTGGGAGAGTATCCTATTATGTTATATGACAAATATGTATTTGAGATGTATGTATATAGGATCGCTTTTTGGTCTGTTGACATCATCCTTAATTTAATCATATTTTCATCACTTTATCATCCCATATTAGTATATTCCACGTCATGAAACCATAAAAGCCAACCACATCACGTACATTCACCCACACGTAGCCAGCCAGTCCATCCATACGTTGCAAAATTGTTTCGTGTGAATACGCGTATGTTTGGTTATGTGTGTGTGTGTGTGTGTTTGTGTGTGTGTTTGTGTGAATGTGTGCGTGCGTGTGTGTGTTTTAATATGTATATATGTGTCTGTGTGTGTGAGTAAGTGAGAGAGAGAGAGAGAGAGAAAGAAAAAAAAGTGTTGTGTGTGTTTTGTTGCGTATGTATGTGTTTGTGTGTGTGTTATTGAGTATGCATGTGTGTGG